TGTCTTTCTCCCTCAGAGTTTCTGATGGTTTTGAACTGCTGACTATGTGGATCGCAGACCAACGAATAGCCACTATACCACCAGAGCTCCTCATGTCACAGCAGAGGAGCTATAACAATATACTCTATCACTCTAGGCTCTCAGGAAGTAAATTACAAAATGAAAATGGCTAGAATCCATTGAGGGGTTGGCAGAGATGTTCCAGGCTCTCCATTGTCTCTTTTAAGTCAGCCGACTTGTGCCATGGAGCCTAAAGTAATGGGAAAATTCAGTAGAACTAGTACAATGGGTGTTCTTATGCCAAGAAAGGAAGAAATTTTGTCCTTTCATTCCCTTATTCCTGGATCTGCGGTCTCTCATTTTAAAGTAGCCAGTTTCTGTTTCAAACCATTGTAAGTATATGAAAAGGGAAATTCCATTTCACTAACAGCCCCTTGGTCATTGATTGAATTGCCGCCCCCCCCCACACCCCACAGTGTGTGTGTGTGTGTGTGTGTGTGTGTGTGTGTGTGTGTTAGCCTGCCCAGGCCATGGTTCAAGTGTCATGTCCCAATTTAGCCCTTACTTGAGTCACACTTTTGCCCTTACTTGAGTCACACTTTTGAACTTCTGAAAGATAACGGGGGAGAGAGACAGAGAAGCAAAGTGAGATTAGGGAGAACTAAGGACGTAATGACTTTTCAAGGAGAACCAAGAGTAGAGAGTATCCTTTGGACCCTAGAATCCCTGCAGTGAGGACATCCTAGACTTTGAGGGCCATTGATGCCAAGACACATGGGGAGCTCCAAGGAATGCTGGCCCACAGATGTTGAAAGGAGACAAAGACCTATCCCTAGAGCTGATACTTCAACCTGACCTTGAAGCCTCCTAAACTGTGTTTTATCTGGAAATGAATTTCTGTTTGTGATGGACTTCCATGTGTGGTATGTCTTTTATAGCAGCATTAGGCATCTAAGATACCGTCTTCAAATCCATCCTCTCCTACTGTTCTTCTCCCCCCAAATAACTACCATATGTGGAAATACAAAGGAGAGCCAACTTACAGTTTGCCAAGCTAATTCCCTTGTAGCCATCCATTCCAAGTTGTTTCAACCTTCTGGCCAGTTCACATCTTTCGTAGACCTTTCCCTGGACGGTGACAGAAAGGAAGAGAAACCCCAGAATAAGGAGCGCCTTCATGTTGACTGGGAAGTCGAACCACTCAACTGAGCAGGAGGGCCTAAACCCAGTATTTAACATCTTTTAACTTCCTTCTTTGCCTTTGAGGGCCCCACCCTTTGATATCAGTTGAAAACAGGAATGGTTTATTGATCAATAGACTTTAAAGGATTTCTTTTTGTGTTGGATTAAAGTGACCGGTGTCTTAAGTATTACCGACAAATATGATGCAATCCATGTGTTTAAACACTTGACTCAGGACGAATTCGGAATTTGAATTGTTTCCAAACCAGAAATGTTATTCTTTACTTTGAATTTGACCAATACTTAAAAAAAAAGTATTTTATATAACATAAACTGAGCCATTTATATGAATAACGATGAGTACAAGGAAGAAGAATATGTTCTAGAATTGAATGTGTCATAATTATACACCTCTTCTTGATATGATTGAATTATTGAATTGTATAACATGTCGATGAATGCTAATAAAATGGTCAAAAACAGTAATAAAAAGAGAGATGGATGGTGGGGTAGGAGATGCTGCCCTGCTATTAAAAGATATAGTGTCTGGGGTCTTAAAAGCTTGAATCCAAACAAGTGGCCATCTAGCAGGGAAGCAACAAAGCCCACATAGAAGAATCACACCAGCCTGAGTGATCATGAGGTATCCATGGGAACAGGCATCAGAAGTTCAAAATTAAATAACCTCACAGAGGTGATGGAGAGGAATCAAGGTGGAGACCCAGAGCTCATCTTTGGATAATTGGATGTTCCAGCACAGAGGGGGCTGCATGGAGCAGACAATGGAACTAGGCGGCAGCATAGTGCCAACGAAACACACAACACTCCTCTGGTTCTTTAATCCTTTGTCCCCCCCCAATATTATGATCTCAGTCCTACCTCACAAATCCTGCCAGACCAGAGTACATACTGCAACACAGATGAGAACTTTCAATACATAGAATTCAGGAAAGATAAACCCCCTCATCATCAGTCATGGGAGTAATAATTCCAGAAGGTAGCAGAAGGGAAGAGGGAAGGCGGGGATGCAGGGGAACGAATAGCAATAATAGCAGAATAACCCTCTCAAGGGGGACAAAGTCCAAGATAGTTGTTGAAGGGATAGAATGGGTAGTGTAAGATATGTATAAATAATAATACATATATATATACATCCCTTCTGTGTGGCCCTTCTGAGAGGGACTGTCCAATTAACTGGCAGGTGGGTTTGGGGTGCCCACTACATCTCCAACCTTTTACATTGATTTGATTGCTTGCTTATGAGCTTCTGATACTTTTCTCTGTCAACACCTCATGATCACACAGGCTGGTATGCTGCTTCCATGTGTCTTTACCGCTTCCCTGCTAGATGGCTGGTTATTTGACTACAGCCCCAGATGCCATATCTTTTAATAGCCGGGCACCGTCAGCTTTTTTCACCACACTTTCTTAGTCACCCATTTGTCTTCAGCAATCGATCGTGCTAGGAAAGAACAAACCATCTTAGTACTGTGGTCAGATTTAAGTAGCAGCCCAAAGTCCATCTACTTCCTTGTTGCATTTGCATTTATATACATATATAAAGAAATATACCAATATTTAAATAATTGTATATTTATATATTTGCATATAAACATATGTGTGTATAGCTCTATATATGGTTTCTTTCTTCTTCTTTTTACTTTCCTCCTGCCCCACTATAATGTTGACCCATGGTTCACCTCACAGGAATTTCTGTCAAATACAATTCCATTGATCAGACACAACCAGAAAAGCTACATCTCCTCACCATCTATTTCAGAACCCCTTACTCTTCCCCTGTACCTGTCTTTATTGGCTCAAGACTCTCCTCCCTCCACCTCCTTCCCTCCCATGCCCCCCAGGCACCATCCCCTGTTGTCATCTTCCAGGATTGCCTATCCGAGCTATCTCGCATAGGTTAAACACAGGAAACAAAACCAACACACAAAAAGGAACACCCAGGTAGTCACAAGCCGGTCATAGATCCTGACACAGAGCAGATGAATATCTCTGTTAAGTAGCGAGAAGGACCTGTTATAAGCCATCAGTCCAGTCCCCTTTTCTTTCAGGGATACACATCGCGGGTCCCCTAACCTGACAACACATACACCCTTTTGTTTTTCAGCATTCTTGTCCAAAAAGCGTGCATCCGAAAAGTCCCCATTGCTATTCCTGCTGTCTAGGATGGAGGAGACTAGTCCCCATGCCCCAACCCCCTTACATTTTAGACTTTCAGTGTGGTCCCCTTGTGCAGTAATCCCCAACCAGTTCAGATGGGGTGCCAGTACTGCCCACCCCCCGCCACCATCCCAGGTCTGAAGTATATAATCGTGATTTCCCATGATGCTCCCATGTGTTCCACAGGAGTACTGTCTCAGTTGGGTTTTCTGGGCTGAAGGTGCTGAGTCAGAATTGACTTATAGCAGCTTAGTGCTGTTTTTGTAAAACAATGACTGACCAAAGTCCTTCCCAGACTTTTGTCGCACAGAGCTACTTTGTGAATTTGCCTCGTTCACCTTGTTAAATTGGGAGCCCCGGTGTCACATTGGGTTGCTTACTGCAAGGTCAGCAGTTTGAAACCACCAGCTGCTCCCCAGGAGAGAGATGAGGCTTTCTCCTCCTGAAAGGAGGTACATTCTCACAAACCCACAGGGGCAGTTCTGTCCTGCACTACAGATTCACTATGAGTTGGCATCGACTCACCATTGGAAGTGAGCGAGTTTTTTGGAACCTCTCAGGTAGGAGCAGGCAGCATATTCCTTATGCTACCCAGGTGACAGTGAGCAAAAGGCTAAAAATCATTCCTGCCCTGCTCCTAATGGGAGCAGTGGTTCAGCGTGGTGTATCGCAGCTATAATGGTGCTGGTGTTGGTGGAGAAGGGCTGCAGCAGCCGAAAGAGAAGGAGTGGAGTCTGAATGGGGAGAAGAAGCTGTCTAGGCTCTCAGTGCAATGCCAGGCTGGAGAGGACATGGGAGACTGGAGGTGTGAGGGAAAGTACAGGGACGCTGAAGGGAGAGGAGGAGAAGTAGCTAGTCAAAGCTATTTTGGAGAGTGGGAACGCCAAAGGAAGCGGTGCAGAGACATGGCCAAGGTGGCCGGGCAACTGTGAGTGTTGGTTTGATCTTTGCGCTTATGCATTTCAAGTGAGCACTGCTGGCAGGCAGGCGGCCTATGGAGTTTTCTGCAGTCATCTCCAGTTGCTTCGGTACAAGTGTGGATACAGGAAAGATATTCAGGACATCAATTTTTTCCTTCAGAGACTTTAGAGAGGTCTTAAAGGGACACAGACTGTGAGTTACAAAGTCTTTATTCATCATTTTGCGTTTCTTACCGACAGGCATAATTTCACACACGTGGTTAACTAGCCATTACCTCAGAAGCTGCAAACTCATCTGCCTCCTGAATTGAGACTTGATGCATGAATCGACACTATCAAAATTGAAGAGTGGCAATACTTTATCTACTCTTCCCGGATAGTCCTTCCTGACCTGTGAGATGCATGTGAGGATTTTTTAAAGGACCTTGGTAGACTGAAGTATAAGTTGTGAGTCTGCTTGTGAAGCTCCATTATTTGTTGGGAAACTCTAAACCAGAGGCTACACACTTCATGGAAACAACATTCTTCACCCGGGCAGCCTTCCCCTTTGCTATCTGGCATGCCCAACAGTGGAAGGCAGCGCAGGTCTACACGGCGGGGGTTCCGTCTGAGGTCAGTCTGTCTTAAGGCAGTCTTTTATTACGTTTTCATCTCATATTGTGGCTTAACGATATTACGCAAGATTAAGCCTGGGTTAAAGAACTGAATCTATCAAAGATGTGTTTGTTAACCAAGATTTTAGATTCATTTTTATCAGCATGAGTTCTTTTAAGCAAACTGGAAAAGGTGTGGGCATATCATATCAAATAATACACACATTATAAATCATTAAGCGGCTTAGGGTGAAGCCTTGCTTCCTTGTTTGATGAGGAAAGAATCGTGGTGTGGCCTTTTACTTATTATTCGCTACTTCCTTCATTTGAAAAGGAGACAAGGATGAGCTGAAGATGGAGAGGTGCACAGTTAGACGCCACAGCCTCGTACATACTCAGTGAGATCCCGGTTCTGACAACGGTTTCTCCAAGCCACCCTGTAACAAAAGGGAAAACAAATCATGAAAGGCTTAAGGTCTCTTCATCGTAATACACATCCTTCCAATTTTATCATGGAGGAAAGTATTTTTCTCAATAAATAAAATATCGTCTATGCACAGAATCAGGTATTACTGTCTATTGAAGGCAGCTATGCAGACAAAGTGCTCCATTCCTTCCCTAGCCCTCCCCAGAGCATGAGAGTGCAGAATTCACACGGGGAGCTGTGTGCTTTCCACATCAAGTCGTGCAAGGGCAACACCCATGTTCTTTCTCTGAAAGCAAATTTAAGTTTCGACAAGTATGTAGATGGTGAAGAGTCTTAAAAACTCTAGAACTCCCTGAAATAAATTGATGAGGCAGAGAGTAAGATTCTGAGTTTGTTATGGTAGATAATTTCTTTAAATATTGAGACATTCATTTGTTCTGCACAAACCTAAAGGATTCTCTGCAGCATAGTTTGGCCTTTGAAATTCAGCTCTCTGCACATATCAATAACCACTCCGCACCCCCCAAATAAAACCCAAACACTCCACGCCCTTGAGTCTTTTTGACTCATGCAGATCATACACAGAGTTTCTGAGGCTGTAAATCTCTACAGGAGCAGGCGGCCTCATCTTCTCCCTTGGAGTGGCTCGTTGGGCATGCACAGCCCGCTTGTGCTTAGTAGACCAATGCTTACCCGCCACCATTCACTCCTTTAACACCTGAAAACATACCATGCTCTAATGCCCTGTGGATCACGGACAACCCTCTTCGCACATGCTACAGCTTGAGTGATGTCATCTTGTAGCAAAACTGAAATAGAAGAGATGAGACATCAAACAACTTTGATGGAAATCTTACTATACACTTATGTGTAGATAGCTTACTCGACTGGGCTGAGGAAAGAACACCATACAAGCATTCAATTATCTGAGAATGGGGGAAGATTTCTCTTCATACCATCCCATCTGGCAAAAAACAAAGCGTTCTGTTTATCATTTATGAAACTTTTAAAAAGTTCTGAATTATTCAATAATACAGTCATACAGTCCTGTGTGACTTGTGCAATATTTAATAAGACAGCCTGGTAATTTTTTATATAGACATACAATTTCTAGGAAATCACTCAAGAAATAGTAGGGATCCAAGGGCTTAAATAGAAAGTAAATGTCTAGAAAATGATGATGGCAACAAATGTACAAATATGCTATCAATTGATGGATGGAATGTTATAAAAGCTGTAATAGCCCCCAATAAAATGACATTTTTTTAAAAAGGAAAGAAATAGCAGGAGTAAATCCAAAGGTTTGGAGAAGGATTTTCATAGTAATTTACAAAAAGGAAAAGTGAAATTATTTAAGTATCTCCAACAGGAGTTGAATGAATAAACAGTGAAATATCTGTGTGATGAAATTCTATTCATCTTTCAAATATGGTAATATGCCTTACCACAGAGCTCACTTTAAACAATAAAAAGAGAAAAAAGAAGCAAACCCTAGGCATCAAGTCCAACCCCACTGAACGGAGCAGCCCTGCTCCGCAGGGTCTCAGAGACTGTGAGTCTGCACAGGTGCAGACAGCTCTTCTGGGTAGCAGCTCAGCACTCAACTCACGGTGCCACCACAGCTCCATAAACAATTAAAAGCATATTGTAAAGCAGTAGACAATTTCATTTTCACAAGAAATTGTTGACATATATATATGTGTGTAACCGTGCACATGATACAGCTTTACATTCATTTACATGAATGATACATAGTACAGAAAAATATATACCCAAAGTAAATCATGATTAACTATGTAATTTTGCTTCTTAGTTTTTCCTAATATTTATTCAATGGCCATAGATGATTATAGAAGTCCAAAAAGTTAAAACTAGATTTAAAAACTATTCTAAACGTAATCTTCTCTATTAGAGATTTAAGATTTTAAAATATACTCATATTGATTTTGTAGGACTTATTTGTTATACTATGCATTAAACATCTTTATATTATTTTACATGAGATCAACCAAATATTTTTTAATCCACAAAAATCAATAAATTCCCTTGAGTTTGAGCTGGAGTTCTTCTGTGTCCCTGATAAGCCCTTCCAGCCTCTCACATTGGCACTGAATCTCTGGGAAGTATAACCAGATGTGTCCTGTGCACCACTCAGCCTTAACTAGTCTTACCGTTGCAGGATATGCCGCAGGCATTAACTGCTCTTGGGGTTTTGCCATCATTGCACCAGTAACGGCTATTGATCTGAAAAATTCCATAGTCTGTGCTTTGGTCTCCACGATTGTAGTTTGTAGCACGGGTATTATAACCACTCTCCCATCTGGCCAAACACATCCCTGAAAAGTAATAAGAAGCAATACCAAATCACTCACACTGTATGTATAAAGATGTATTCAACTTGCAAAATATCTTAATACTTCAGCTTTTTTCAAAGAGACAAACCCCAAACCACCACCACCACCACCCCACTACGGGGTGGATTCTACCCATAATAACTCAGGGTAGGGGTTTCTGAGACGGTAAGTCTTCATCAGATAGCCTCATATTTCCCCCTCAGTTGGGCTGGTTGGTTTGAACCAATGAGTTTGTTGTTCACAGTGTCACACTCAACACACGAAGCCACGCCCGTTCCTCTTACTGTTAAATGGTCCTCTATCAAGATTCTTTATTGTCATTCAGGTAATTTTATTAGACTAATGGAACAAGAAAACATACTTTTAAAACTATAAAAGTTCTTCCATTGTTTTTCTCCTCTGCAAACTCCTCAGGCACCCTAGTGGTGCCGTGGGTCAAGTGCCCGGCAGGGAACTCCGAAGTTTGCAGTTGAAACACACCAACTACTCCTTGGGAGAAAGCTGAGGCTGTCTGCTCCAGGCAGGTTTATAACCTCAGGAGCCCTACGATGCACTACTACTTGGTCCTTTGAGTCTCTCTGAGTTAGAATGGACTTGATAGCAGTGTATTCGGATCCCTCAGGCAACGGTCAGCCTAGAACAGAAGAGACTAGGCCAGAGTTGCTTAGGGGATTTCCTAAATGTGCACTTCATGGGCACCCTGTGCATATCAGAGTCCGACAGTGTTACACAGGGTTCTGAACGACTGTGTTTTCTTCCAAGGCACCTCTGAGTGGACCCCCACCCCCACCCTCTCAGTTAGCAGCGGAGGCCGTGACCCACTTGCACCACCCACGGATTCTTCAGCTGATGGACAAATGCTTTTGAGTAAAGAAATGAAGTATTTTCTGAGAGACAGACGGTTCCATCAAATCCCCAAAGGGATGTTGAATGGCAAGTCAGATGATACAACAGAAATATTTCATCGATGAATCATTAATTCACTTAATTATTCAAAACTAGTCACTGAGGGGAAGTATGTGAATTCCAACTGAATAGTTTAAAGTTACATTTATTTAGGACACCTTTTGAAGTATCTGGAAGAAAATTAAAATTCATTAATCAGGTGAATAAGAATTAAAACAAAAGAAAACATTCTTTCATGTTGGGTCCAGGGATTCTTATATAATACAATTCCTAAGGACAAATGAAATCTGATTGCCTTTGTATTGGCAGCTCAACATCATTTTTAATGTTATTATTAAAAATCCTATGTCATGACTCACTCAAACTCACTGGCATTGAGTCAGTACTGAGTAATTGTGATCCTTTGTGCATTTCTGAGTCTGAGGCTGAATAGAAAACCCCATCTTTCTCCCTCAGAGCTGCTGGTAGTTTTGAACTGCTGACCATGTGGATCGCAGTTCAATGAGTAACCACTATGCCACCAGGGCTCCTTAAGTCATAGCAGGGGAGCTATAACAATAAACCCCATCACTCTAGGCTCTCAGGAAGTAAATTACAAAATGAAAATGGCTAGAATCCATTGAGGGGTTGGCAGAGATGTTCCAGGCTCTCCATTGTCTCTTTTAAGTCAGCCGACTTGTGCCATGGAGCCTGAAGTAATTGGCAAATTCAGTAGAACTAGTACAATGGGTGCTCTTACACAAAGAAAGGAAGGGATTTTGTCCTCTCATTCCCTTATTCCTGAATCTGCTGTCTCTTGTTTTAAAGAATCCATTTTGTGTTTTTAACCATTGTTTATGTATATGAAAAGAAAAAGCCCATTCATTAACAGCCCCTTGGTCATTGGCTATTTGAGTCACACTTTTGAACTTATAAGTGAGAATAGGAGAGAGACAGGAGCAAAGTGGGGATTAGGGAGAACTAAGAACCTAACAACTTACCAAGAAAAGAAGAACCAGGGGTAGAGAGTATCCTTTGGACCCTAGACCCCCTGTACTGAGAACATCCTAGACATTGAGGGCCGTTGACGCCAAGACACATGGGGAGCTCCAAGGAATGCTGGACCACAGATGTTGAAAGGAGACAAAGACCGGTCCCTAGAGCTGACACTTCAACTTGACCTTGAAACCTCCTAAACTGTGATAAAATAAATTTCTCCTTGTGATGGCCTTCCAAGTGTGGTATTTCTTCTATAGCATCATTAGACATCTGAGATACCTTCTTAAGATCCATCCTCTCCTACTTTTTCTTTCTCTTCACCCCCCAGTAACTATGTGGAAATACAAAGGAGAGCCAACTTACAGTTTGCCAAGCTAATTCTCTCGTAGCCATCCATTCCAAGTTGTTTCATCCTTCTGGCTAGTTCACATCTTTCATAGACCTTTCCCTGGATGGTGACCAAAAGGAAGAGAAACCCCAGAATAAGGAGCGCCTTCATGTTGACTGGGAAGTCAAACCACTCAACTGAGCAGGAGGACCTAAGCCCTGTATTTAACATCTTTTAACTTCCTTCTTTGCCTTGGAGGGCCCCACCACTTGAACTCTGTTGAAAAAGGAGTGGTTTATTGGTCAATAGACTTTAAAGGATTTCTTTTTGTGTTTGAAGAAAGAGACCCTGGTGTCTTAAGAATTACCAATAAAAATGATAAAATTTATAAAATTATGAAATCACTGTGTTTAAGCACATGGCTCAGGAAGAAATGGGAAGTTGAATTGTTTCCAAACCAGAAAATTTTTCTTTCACTTTGAATTTGACCAGCACTAAAAAAAAAGAAAAGATGTGTTTTATATAACATAGACTGAGTCCTTTACACAAATGACATTGAGTGCAAGGAAGAAGAGTGTGTTCTAGAATTGAATGTGTCCTAGTTGTACAACTTTTCTTGATATGATTGAGTTATTGAATTGTATAACATGTGGATAAGTGCTAATAAAATGGTAAAAATTAATGATAAATATAATGTGATCCCTCATCTTTGAATAACATTCCTTTTAATGAAATTGTGGGCATTTAGGTTTTGTATTCATGTTTTTCTTAAATGATGAATACAAAATAATATGTATTCATCATTTAAGAAAAAATATGTACTTTTCCATCAATGAACATGAAGACAAAAACCTATTCTCAAAACTCACGGCCTTGAGTCATTTCCCACTCACAGCCCTACAAGACAGTAGAACTGCCTCCATAGGTGTCTGAAACTGTCAGTCATCCTGGGAGGAGAAAGCCTCCTCGTTCTCCCATCGGTGGTTTTGTACTGCTGACCTTGCAGTTAGCAGCCCAACTTGTAACCTACCACTCCACCAGGCTCCTTTGTGAAATGTAATTTCAGTGGCTACATGGCATGATCTTATGTTGCTTTACCACTGCTCTATTCTAGATATTTCTTGGCACTATTACAATTTTTTAAAACTAATGTAAATCCAATGATTTTTATAGTTACAAATAAATAAGATGATTTGGAACAATGTTCCAACTTCCTTTTTCACAGGGCTTTGCCTCTCCTTTCCTGTTAAAAAGTAAAGGACTTTATAAATCAAATATACCCAGATATATATGTTCAACTAAGTGCGACTTTTGAAAATAATTGTCTTCCAAGGCTGTGTGCATGTGTTAGGACAATTCTGTACATGCTTTTTAGAAGTTGCTGCGAGAGATCAAAAAGAATTGTCTTCCTGGACCTGCTTGTGAAGACAACGAAAACTATGAGCCACATGAAATATCTTCACTCGGGTAGGGAAGAAAAGAGACCTCAAATCCAATGTTAAGTCTCAAACAAGACAAAGACAAAGACAATCCATCTGTAGGAGGAAAAGCATAGGCAGAGGCCACCATGGCATCTAAAGAGTTACAGAGACATGGCCACTTTAAGAGAACATGATAGTATAAGGGTTTGGTAGTTACAGAATCTGGTGTCAATTCGGGACTTGAAAGGATTAAGAGTAAATGGGTGGAGTCTAGTCTGTCAATCGGGTCATAGCCAATGAGGCCTCTGTGTGGGCATAGCCTTCTCCTGAGAATTCTGGGAACTCCTGTATTTCCTCCTTGGAGGCGGGAGACATGTCTCTGCTCACTTCCTGCAAGACATGCCTGAGGAGAAGCCACATGGACTCACCCTGAAACAGCCCTGGGAACTACAGGAGCCACATGGAGACCCCTGCTAGTGCTGAGATGCTTCTACAGCCACTGACTTCCCACCCACTGGCCTGTGATCTTCTACATTCAGCATCATTGCATGTGTTTGTGGGTCTGAAGAGGAGTTTATAGATTGGCATGGGACATATGGTCTAATATCAGACTTATGGACTTGATCTGGACTGGGCTGGGATGTTTTCTCAATATTCACCTGCTCTTGTATATAAAGCTCTATCTTATACACTTATGAGTCTCCCTGGATTTGTTTCTCTACTCTACCTGGACTAACACAAAGGGAAATTGGTGGCAGATCAACATATCACAATTGCAGGAGGTTCCAACAACTTTATTGGCAGATATTTCACATATTGTACAATCATACTAGCACATCAAGAAGAGATCTACAATCATCACCACAATCAGTTTTAGAACATTTTCTTCAGTCTGTACTCATTGTTGTTAGTTCCTTCTCTTGTACATAGGATTGCTGAGTGGCAGCACACTCCCCAGCACTGAGCAACACTTAAAACCTCCACAGACTTCTTTTTACTCAGCTTATTGTTTCTTATAGCGTCCTTACTTATTCGATGATATGATCTTTTCTCTACCTCTGGGAATTCACAATAGTTTACCTTGTATTTTGTTTGACTTCATTTTGCCTCTGCTTCTCTTGAGCTTCTTTTCTCTTTCCCAGTACTGACTTTTATCAAGGGGCTGCACTCCCCTTGGATAACACAGGCTGATGTATTTCTTCCATGTGGACATAGTTGATGCCTCACTTAGATGGCCTCATTTAGATGCCTCGTTTAAAGACAAGCCTGTAAGACCCAGATGCTATTCTTTCTGATATCCAGACACCATCTAGTCTCTTCACTACACTTCAGTGATCTCTTCATGAAGTTGAGCATCAAGTAAAGCCATGTCATAAGAACTAATTGTTCTTAGATTGGGGCTAGAATTAAGTGAAAGCCCCAAATCCATTCATGTATTTGTGGTTTATATGTGCCTCTGGCTCACCTTACAGACATCATTGTCATTTTTATGGCCTAGAACATTCTCAAGCATCCCTCTGGTGCATCATTTCCACTGCCGTCAAGTCACTGCTGACTCATGATGACCCATAGGGCAGAGTAGAACTGCCCCTGGGAGTCTCTGAGCTTGCAAATCTTCATAGGAGTAGAAAGCCTTATCCTTCCCCTGCAGAGGTAGTTGATGATTTCAAATTACTGACTTTGGGTTTAGTAATCCAATGGGTAGCCACTATGCATTGATAGTGTCATTAGTTTAGCCAATGGTGTAGAATTTTATAACACTGCTGAGAAAAGGAAATTATATGAGTATAGACCAGCTATGAGCTACAATACATGAACTGTGGTGTACAGATTAAGCTCCTAAGTGACAGGACATTATTTACACAAATAATGGAAGTTGATGATAAGGCAAATTTTCCAATAATATTCATTCACAGAAGCAGCAGAGCCATATTTACTAGGTTAATATGTGCTGTGAGGAAGCACAGAGGGCTTTAAAATCTTAAGTATATGATAGTTTTGGGACTATTCTTTTTTTTTTTTAAACATTTTATTAGGGGCTCAT